GAATTTTGCGATTCAATTTAGGATTATTCATGTATTTATTTGATTATTTAGTGATCTGTGGCCCCGATCGTATTCTGTATTATTTTAAACATGATTTTCAAAATAATTATGAAAACTTTTCTGAATCCAAAATATCAGCTTTTTTTGACACTCATAGATCAGAGCAAACTCCAGGTGACTTTGATACTTTATTGCAAAGGTGTCAAACGCACCTGATTTACATTAATGGACAATTTACAGGCTTCTACGGAATTTGAAGAGGTGAATGAATCACTGAGTCAGATTTGTTGAAGCAGAGAAATAAGGAAAACATGCAGGATAGAGGCCCTCAAGGATTATATTGAGGTTGTATTTGAGTTCATTTTACTACCTTTATGTTACTAGCATTAGATTTCCAACTCTTTATAAATCACTTTGGTCAATAAAAATTATTAAATGTGCACACTTTTATTTGTGGAGCCCATCTGGTGACACAAGATGGCCACAAGGTTTAATTCTGAGCATCTGTCATAATGTGAGCGATAGAGACACTGTTTTAGTGTTAAACTGTTCAAAGGTACCCCACACTTATTATTACTTATTTTATTTTTTGGTGTATGTTCAATCCTRAGAGCATACCTCCATGGTTCAGTCTAAACAGTTCATTTTGTGTACTATTTTCTGAGATGACATACAGTACGGCTTAAACGTGTGTCATGAAACAGATTTTTTTACTGTGTTCCTGAACGTGACTTAATATCGACTCCAAAGCAAAGGCAAGGAGTGTGAAAGGAACCTGTTTTGAGTGCTGAGCTGAAAAACAGAACTCTTTGGACAAAGACAACTCCAGTGTTTTATAGCTGCAAATGCTAAGAATCATAACAGCAAATGACGGAAGTATGTCATTCATTCCTATATTAAAATAAATTGTAAACAACAATGACTGCAATAATTATCTTGTGGCCCTGCATTAATTGTATTAACCCATTGTCAACAGATGGGCTCCGTATTCATTTGATTTGAATTGATATGGAAAAAAAGAGAGTAAAAAATAAGTGGTACCCTTAAATACATCCAGCACGTTGTCTAAAATGGCACAGAGCGTGTCCTGGATGTAACCTGTTATCCCAGAAACGGTCTCATTTATAACACCGAACAGATTCCTGCCGATCACCACAGGATCAATGAAGCTGAAGTCAGTCGTTCCTGAAGAAAACATAACAAACAGTTAAACATAAGGTCATTCTCAGACATTAAGAAGTTACACAAAAGACCATTTAAATACCTTTGACTACATCCAGTACAGAGTCCAATAAAAAGGAGAGCACACCCTGGATGTAGTCCAACACCTCACATGTGAACTCATTAGTGGTCCTGAAGACACCCCTGCCTATTACAACCGGGTCGACGTAGCTCAGATCAGTTTTTCCTGGGAGAACAAAGTAAATAACTCATCAAACCAGGTTACAAGTAAAAGAGGCAAAAAAAGTTTCTTGACAATGTCATTTGATGCAGCATGAAACAGAAAAGTCCTACAAATCAGACGTAAATAAAAAGAAGACACACCTTTCCTTATGTCCTGAGTCGTCTCTATTACAGTATCCACAACAGCACAAAGCGTGTCCCTGAAGTAACCCAGCACTCCACACAGGAAGTTGTCTGTTGAATGGAAAGCTCTTCTACCAATAACTACAGGGTCAATGTAGCTGAGGTAAAAAGTTCCTGTGGTGCAGAAATATGTTTTCTTTATATAACAATAAAAAGACTTTATGTGGTGCATTCAGTTTACTTTATTGTTATACCTTCTTCATCTGAGTAATAGCGAACAAAACTGTCTTTAGCTTCTCTGATTTCCTCAGCTGCATACGTGGCAGCAGACATGGGGTCACTTAAATCAGGGGCACATTCTGAAAACAAGAGGTCAGCATTTCAGTGCTTGTACTGATGTGTACAGGAAAAAAAATAAAATAAATATACCTTGGAACTTATTGAGAAGGCTGGTCACTTCATCAACAGCATCGTTTGTAGCCTGAACTGGGTCTGATATGATATGATGAATGTCTGGGAAAACATGAAAAGAAAAAAAAAAAAAAGCTCCTAAGTGAAATGACTGGTGGACTCGTGAATTTTTACGCTTTTGTGTGTTTCTGAACGTACCAGGTACTGCTTTGTATTCCACAAAGTYAAACATCACCACACCCACAACCACCCAGGACAGGAGAGCAGCCAGGGCCACCAGCAGCTCCACAGACAACTTCAACTTCCTGAGGAGCTGCAGAGCTTTAGATCTGAGGGAGCTGGTCTGGGCTGCTCCCCCGGGCCCTCCGGCTACGCCCACAGAGGTGGGTTTGGCTGCTGTGTGTGGAAAAAAAAAATCATTTTTCAAAAACGTGTGTGACAAAGCAGGATGGCAC